ACTTTGACATTTTCCAACGTCAATAATTATGCCCCGTCTGTCCACGTGCGTCCACGCATACAAACACACGTTATCGTCGCCATCATCATCGTCATCGGCGATCGAGCATGATTCGTTCACCTTGCACACCTTAGTCTTGCTTGGCCGCACGCCTGTACCCCACGATGCACTTTAAACCGTTAACTTGCAATTATGTCAGCGCCGATTTCCGCATCGTAAACAACATTGTACAACACCGAACAGCCTTACCTACACGCGCGACTCATTTCTTCAATCCGTTATAAGCGTCATATACATTACACGCATGAGTGCAGTTTGGAGCTCGGCGTACTTTTTTTTTTTTTCTTTATCAAGAAGCCACATTGATGGCAGTGAAAGCGCTAGAAAGTACATTATGTGGTATTCATATGCTTTAAAAAATATATAATTTGGAAAATATGTAGAAATTGAAGAAGGAAGGTCCAATTACGTATTGTATTATATACTCAAAGATAAAAATATGGTGACAGCAACTATATAGATGACAACTGTTCAAGTTTTATATGTAGATAATTAATGTATGTAATAATTATAAAAAATTATTTATTTAACTATGTACATTAATTCTGCATAAACCTTGTACGATTATCACCTATGTTAGATAATTGTCACTATGTTTTTCTCTAAGTGTATAATTAAATATAATTGCACCTATAAATGATTGCAGCGTGTAACGGTTTGAAAAAACGAGACACTACATCTCATATTGTGTGATTTGTTCGAAGAAGCTTCCCCTGTTTCTATGTACATTACACTTTTGCGATTACATGAGCGAGTAAACGCGCGACAATCGTCGATTGAACGATTTGTTCCTTTTGCGCAAGACGTCTCGTCTTGAACTGTCGCGCAAGTTTAGTCGCTAATGTGAGAACCATTGCATGTAGTTTGATCGCATTTGATATGCACCCGCTTACTACTAAGCCACGATTTATACATAAAGGCTATCGTTCTTTTCAGTCGCACTCTCTGAATTTTCTCTCTTCAAAACGCACATCTAAAAAGTATATCTGTTTTTCTTTTAAAGAAACGTGCGACTAAAACGAACAGACCTATAGTTGATAACTCCAATGCGATTCGCGGCGAATGACCGATGCTGTTCGTGCAATTAGCGCGTGCAATTAACACCGGCGCCAATTTGCCGACAATTTAATTTGCGCGCCGGAGCTATTTGCACAAGTCTCTCGTCTGTGAGTGACAAATCAATTGCTAGAAGCTGGTGCCACTCTGCAATAATTTTCGAAATTCAAACACACACACTGTTTTCCAAATGTTTCTTTGCCGATTAGATAATGGACATTTAATTCATAGTCTTGCTGCAATCACATTTTTTATGAAATTATTTTTCTAATTTTTATCTTAAAATTTGGTAAAAAGATAAATCGTATGAGGAGATTTTGTCATGCATAAGATAAATGTTTCAATAACTAAATCTAGTGATTAAAAAATCAACAATATGAATTGTTTGAACACACAACACACAAATTTGATATTATTATTTAGATATTTATTAATAACAGCAAAGAAGGTAAAATAAAGGATTAAATATTTTTTGTATCAAATTAAGTAATAGAAACATAATTTGATTGCGAATTATTGAACAATTTTTTCAAGTGTCGCACAAAAACAGTTATATTTAAACTTGAGACATAAACTGTGTTTGGTTTAAACAGTTCACGTACTATAAGTTTCATTTTATCTTCCTTCCATAATAAACGATAAAAACGCAGCCATAGTGTTTACATTTTTTAATTTTTTAAATATTATATTTACCTAAACACGTAGGCTACGTTCCGACAGCGTGCTTTCAATGCATTTATCCTTATTTTTCGTCTAACACTGAAGGCACGCTCCCAGAACGCAATCCAAATATGTTTTTTTATTATTATAAAAAATTAAAAATTAAATTTCAAAAATTTCAGTTCATTTATTGGTATAATTACTATAATTGATATGGTAATATATCAATAAGATTTTACTTAAATGTATATAAAGAAGGAATAAAGGCTAATAAGAGTCACGCATCAGTATTAACACAAAAAAAATAAATATCTTCAAAACTAACATATATATATTAATAAATATGCAAAAAGTTTGAACATTTTTTAATTTAAAAGTTACAAAAATAAAAAAATTAAGAAAAGATCGACGCTGTGAAAATATTACATGTTTATATTTTGGCCCTCTTCAGATATACAAAATTATAATGAAGAAATTTGATGAATATGGTAATCTGATGGTTTTGTTAAAAAAATAAAAGAAGTAAATAAAAAAAATAATAATAATAATAAAAAGGTAGAATGAGAAATTGATCAGAGAAACAAAATTATTCGTCAAGCGATTGGATGACCGATTGCGAAGATTTCTTGTTATTCTCCGCGTCCACAAAATAAAGAGATCCATGTCAAAGATTAAAATCGCCAATAATATGAAGTCAGATAAAATAAAAATTTTGATGTCACATAATAATTATATACCGTCAGATATGTAATAAATAAGTAACACGTTATTCTGTCACAACGAACAGAACTGTAATGTGATTTTATTATACTTAAACTTTTCTTTTTTTTTAGATTTATGTTAATATTTTTCAATCACTGACAAAGTTTTATGCAGATAATAATTCCTCTTTTGTAATGCTACTAATTAATAATAAAAAATCGTCGTTTTTTTGTCTCTTTGACTCGATATTTCTTAAAATTACGACGTGATAGCTAAATTCAGTCAAGCAGGTAAAAATATCGGAAATTACTATTAATTTGTATTACAAAAAAAGGTCAAATTTTATTAAAAGCTGTTATTAATCAATAATAATACAAATTATACCTTTATTATACCTTCAGATTATAGACTGATTATACCTTCTTATTAATTTAGTCATTGGAATATTTACTTTATAACGCAACGCGGGAAAATATGGTATTTCGTGACTTGTGGCAATAAAAATCTGTGCCTTATTCATTGCTTTGATATTATGCAGAAAAATACGAAAGTCACGGCGAAATTAATATGACTGCTTCCGCATAACGTATGATGTTTGCCTTCGTTAAGTCATGAGTCTGATGGTTATTGCACCGCAAAAAAAGGACTTTCCACCCGGATTTCTCCGCGTTAAAGGCATTAAAGTGCCGCGCTTCTATCGGACAGTTATGTGCTACGCGAATTCGATATCGCTAATTACTCTCGTTACATCGGTAATGAGAATATCCGGCCTTCCGGCCAGTTGATGCCACATCGCAGAGCTTAGCTCGCCGCGCCGCGGTGAAAGAATTCTGAGGGAATTCTCGCGACGAAACCGAGACTTACGAGACCTCCCGCTCGTGGCCGAGGAACCGTTGTAAAATCTATTTTTGCTATCTACGAGATTCCCGACATCAACGTTATGTCGTCGAGTTTATTCTGAGGGAATTCTCGCGACGAAACCGAGACTTACGAGACCTCCCGCTCGTGGCCGAGGAACACCGTTGTAAAATCTATTTTTGCTATCTACGAGATTCCCGACATCAACGTTATGTCGTCGAGTCTCTCGGCAAGATCCCTCCCGTCCCTTCACCGTCCCATCCAACACTGTAATATTATACATGCAGAATACTCCGGTCTGTCCGACAGTCCGTCGAACACATTGCGGTGCCACCAGCTTCCATCTATACGATGTTCTCGAGCTCTCTCGGTGATATACATACATGACGAAAGAAAACAATCAGAGACCAACCATAGCTTATCAATTGCCATTACACTGCACGAATGTCATGTGCAAAAAAGCAGTCGCGGCGACCGCTGGCAAATGCTAATTCGTGCCGCTTTCTCGCTTGCTTCGAGACGATGTGACATTCACAAAAGAAACAGAGAAATGCAACTTGTTCCGTTGGACTTGGCATAAAAACCATCGGAAGGCGGTCATTCTTTGAGAACGCGTCTCGTTATCAATCGAGGTCGCTCTCCTGAACCCTTTTTAAACTTTTCCAAAGTCAAGTAATCTGTGTCAGAGTCTCATATGGAAACACTTGGTGTTAAAAGACTGTTTCTGTTAGTATCGCTATACAGAGTGTCCGATAACAGACGCACTTGGTGAACAACATGATATTTCTTGTTGAAAAGAATTATAAAGTATTTAATATTTTCTCATAATTTAATCAGAGACTAATTTTTTTTTTACTTTGCTGATTCGCTCTATTTGACCATAATTTATTTTTTTACATAATTGATTTTATTAAAAAATGTTCTATGAGATATTTGATGACTCGTTTGTTAATGTAAAATCTTTTTGTGTAATAATTTCTTTTTATTTTTTAGAGTTTTTGAATCATATTGATTCAAATACTATGATGATAAATTTGGACAAACTAACAGGGTTGTAACATTAAATATCTTGATGATAAATGTCAAAATAATTAAAAATTTATAATTAAAACAATGTATATTAAAAAATAAATTATTAATGAATGATGAATTATTAATTTTAAACATTTATAGTCTTTTAAGCTATGATAGATTGGAGTCTCAAAAATCTCAAGTAACAAATGTTAACATTTCGTCGATGATGTAAAATTTTATTTCTTCCCGTTTAGCAATTTAGATTTTTAAGCTTCATAGATTTTTATTTTTTATTTATGTTGTACCGGATTGTATAAAAATCTGAAAAAATTCTTGCATATTTGTAAAATTGTAAAATTAACAACAACAAGTTTTTACTCTTTATCATAGAAGTCGGATTGCAATTTACAGATTTAAATTTATCTGTAATTTACAATTAAACTCTATCGAACCTTAAAAGTCAAAGCTTGACGAAATGTTATATTATTTATTACGTATTATTTATTACATGAATATCACCAATGCGCTCGCAGGATCGCACACCCTGTATTAAGATACGCATATGCACACATGAATATCGTAACCGCACCGAGCTCGAGAACACTCTGACACGCGTGACAGTATACGGGATGAGAACCGGACCTGTGCAGTGTGCACGAGGATCGCGTGGACGAAGAACGGCAGCCTCGGCGCGGCGGTGGCGAGGTGGCGGGTTTGGAGGACTCCTGTACCGCGACGGTGACGTCGTCGGTACCTGGAGCCGGTGGCATCCGTTCGCATCGACGCACTAGACCGCTCTCCCTGGCAGTGCAACCTCTCAACTATCATCGCCTCGACCCGGATCCCCGACCGCCAGCGCAGATCGCCACCAGGCATCACCCCAACATGACCAGCCAGGAGAGCATCGGCAGCTGCAGCCTGGACGTCGACCGCTCTGCGTCCGACCGATCAGGTTGGCTATCCCGCATTGAGAGACACGTAATCCCCACGATTACGTGACACGTTATCAATAAGAACTTAGTAACCGTTATCTTATTATTATTGTGAATTATTTAATCGTTCCATGATTAAATTATTCTTTGACTAAACAACTTCACTAGACAACTTGAAATGAAAGTAATTTAACTTGAAATGGTTAAAATATTTTTATTTCTTCACACACAAATTGTCTAATTAAAAATTTTCCTTAAGTTGCGTATTTTTCTGAAAATATTCAGAAATCTGGAAATATGTATAGAATTCGTAGTATTTAAAAATCATATAATTTGTAGATAAATAATTAGGGTTTCGCAGAGAGAGAGAGAGAACCAGAAAAATTCAAAAATTGAAATGTTTGGATGGATTACAGATTTTTTAGATACTACTATTTTTAGGAAAAAAACTATTATGATTCTTTGAGAAAAGAACCTTGCTGCAAAATAATCTTCCCTATCGAAAAGAAGGATCGTTTCTCGTAGACCTCGGTCGGGCCGAGAATGATTAGACGCGTCACTCGAGTGAGGAAGTCATTCCGCGGAAAAAAGTGGAATGCGCTTGAAAGAACGTGGGATTATATCGTACAGTTTATCTGTAAACCAGTTCTTTCAATTATCCGAAAATGCGGCACTTAATTGACGATGAAAGCCGCACATTAAATGTCCAACAACCATGACATTACTTAATCAGAAAAATGTTCTCTCATTCAGAAAGAATGATACTTTGTTGAAATATCTAAAAATTTAGCCAGATACAAATTTAAATTCTGAAAATAATTTTATTACCATCAAAATAATTATATAAGAAACAGCATGATATAATTATTTTGATGGTCCAATAAAATTATTTTTAGATGTGCATTTGGTAAATTTTTAGATACTTCAAAATCGTTCTCTTTTTCCGTGAATCATATTTCACTTTGGCTCCTTGCGGAAAGTAATCGGCCGTTAATTACAAATTCTAATTCGGGCATCGCGAATTGGTAAATTCTCGGGAAAAGGGTTAACTTAAATTCGAAAACTTAGCTTTCGTATCGCGATCTCAGGTATTTCGTGGACCTTCGTTCGAAATCCATGCAAATTTTCGAAGCTTCAAGGCCGGTGGGGGTCGCCGATCCCTCCACCGTTACTTTCTCGCAGGTTGGCGGACGCTTTTTGCTCGCTCAAAATGCCGATCGGATTTAGACCGCAGACGAGTTTGCATGCACCAAGTGCAAACGCTTCTTTTCCTCGTCGTTGCCAAGAAGGCATTGCCGAGGGAGTCTCTGCCGCGAGAGTGTCACTCTGCTCAGTGTTCCAGGACCGTCGCGGTGACTTAGACGAGCGTGGAGGACTGTCGTTGGCTCATCTCAATTCCGCGAAGTGCGTCGGTTGATCGAGAACTTTGACCAATCTGGATTTCCATCCGGTTGTTTCGGCGTAGCGAGCTTGGAGCCGCTCCACCGTTTCCTAGGAAATAAGGCCACGTTGCGACTATGACGCGAATAAAATTCGTATAACGCGAATAACTGGCGTGTGCATAGTGCGTGGGCGACAGTGCTTTTCGAAGGTGAATGTCTCGTCAGCCGAGCAGTTGGCTCGCAGACGTTCATCGTTAATGAGAGCACAGTAATTCGTGAGATTTCGTGAACTTAAATAAAAGCGTAATAGAAGGATCTGAATGTCGACAAATTTAAACGTTTTGTTGCGGCTCAATTTATGTAACTTTAGCTCGTGATCGTTACGATAATAAAGCAGCCAAATTTACAGAATTGTAATATTTCTTTTGTTCGCGCGTTATGACGTTCATAATAATTTCTACATCTTTCGTTTTTAATTTTTGAGAATAGGAGAAGACCGAAGAGTTTTCGCGAGTGTTAGATCGACATTTCCGGGTTTCAGAGAACACCGTGGACTCCGTGTCCGAAAAGACTCTGCACAGTCTGAACCTATCGTGCAACGGTGAACCGGTGTCGCCATCCGAGAAATTGGCAAACGGCAGCAGTGAGACATTGCAGAAGTCACACCTTACTCCCGATGAGAAGAAGCTAAACGCCAACAATGTTCATCACGGTAGCCCCGAACCAGAGCTAACGACAGCGAAGAAGCCTAGTTACTTGGGATTGGCGTGCAGTATAAGCGGCTACTCGGGCATCACCAGGTACGACAGTAAATTGAGGGAAGGATTCCGCTCGAGAGACAGCAGCCCTGGCACGAGATTGATCACGAGAGACACGAGTCCGGCAGGTTTCAGGTGAGGCACTGGTGTCACTTTGACGCCGTTTAAAATATACACGCGAATCTCGATTTAATAAATGAAATCTGAAAAATTGTAGATCCAACGAGAATCTCAACGTTCCGACGCCTCAATATCCACCTAAAAGCCAATCGATATCGCCGTTAGCAATGGAAAGGCAAAACGGATTCACGAACGGCGTGAAGGAAGAGTGCAAAATTGAGACATACATGGAGAGCAGAAATTCGATCAGTATGGCATGCCAAGGCTACTCGGAAATCGATAAAGCAATATCGTTGCACGCAACGTTTCCCGAACTCAGTCCCATCAGGATGAGCAGTGCAGCTAACAAACGAAGTCCCGGATTGTCGCCAATAATGTCATGCGGACAACAGAACAAGTCTATGGGGACAGATTTCTCTACTCCGAAACAAGGCGTCACTAATCGTAAGGAAAACTCTCTTCCATAAATGACTTTAATATGCAACAAAAAAATTAGAGAAATAAAATCAATATTAATATATTAATTTTCTTTCTCTATAATGATTCTTAAATAACTCTTTCTTTACTCTTTTTGAACTAAATTTAAAGTCTAATTATATTATTTTATTATTACGAATTTATTTTGACATTATTGTCTCAAGTTTTTATTTGTATTAAAAAAACGGAATCCAAAAATTCCATAATTATAAATAAGATTTCAAGAAATTATAATTTTATAGTTAATGTCCTCGGATCCTTTTAAAAGCGAGCGATCCGATATAATATTTATCCGATATAATATTATCTGTTACATATATTTTATATTAAGCAACAAAATTGTAGTATTTTTTAAATTTATTTGATATTAGTGAATATAATATTATTAATGATTCAATTATTCTGTATTGAATAAGTTTTTAACATATAGATATATTATAATATTTAATTTATACTTAAATTCATGTCAATAAGTCATGTTACATTGACCCATATCTATTTATATTTTGACATTACCGCTGATATTTAACGATTGTTTCTTTCGATATATGTAAAGGATACACGCGTTATTAGTTAGTTTGTTTTGTACTTTCTTATTTACAAGTTCTGCTGTATAACAGTATATTTCCTTTATTTATTTTTTGTTATAGATTATTTTAAATTTTTCTTATTGCTATCAAAGAGGATTCAAAAAAGCTTAAAGCTTTTAACATCAAATAATAGTTTTACATCAATTGTTAAATACTCGTTTAAAAGTACGCACTTAAATCTTTCTAGAGTGAATTAATTCCTTTATATTATCGTTTATATTTTATATTTATTTCAGATTTCTTTATTTAATTATTTTCGTTCTGTTTTTTTGTAGTTTCAGGTGCATCGTTTACTAATATTCTAAACGGCTCGTCAATAGAAGTTGAGAATCAAGTGTTAAACACTTCGTCGAGCAGCGAGAAATCCTTTATTCAACAACGAGTGGAGCGGTTGTACGGTCCAGGTGCTCTAGCGCAGGGTTTCTTCTTCAAACGCAGCATCACTAAGCTAAACATTAGTGACAGTAGTTTCAATAAATCCAGTAATAACAATGACATTTCGACAGACAACGCGAACACGGAGGAATCGTTAAAAAATTTGCCTGTACTGCGACATTTGCGCCCGGAATTTCGAGCACAGCTCCCTGTAGTCAGTAGTAGAAAACCCACAGACGGCACGGAACAAGTAATAAAGCCATTACAAAGGTGAGTTCTGTATTTTATAAATAAAATGTGGAAATTACTTTATTTAATTTTTCATTTTTGACAACAAAATGTTTTTACGTTCTCAGGATAACGCCAACACGGAAAACCGACCAGATGAGTTCTCAAACTATAAATTCACAGACCAGTGTAATAAGAAGGATTCCGATTACTATAGAAGGTGATATACCGCAACGTGATACGACTAGTAAAAACATACCTGATCAGCAACCAGCCGCGCCGAAAGTAGTGTTACCTGTATTAGAACCTAGCGCCAGCTCGACGAACATAGCGAAACAAGTTCAAGAAGCGGAAAAAGTAGTTGAAGAGAAAGATGGTCATTATTTTATGAAGGTAATTGGAGAGTAAATGTGTATATTACACGATATAAAAACCTATATTCTCGGTTATAAGAATTCATACATATTATGTTTTCAGTTGTTGAAACAAGAGACAGATAGACTGCTATCGTTGGCCGCATCTGCAGAGGCCGAATTAGCCAGCGGCGATACTGTTGCACTGCCAGAAGAGGCTGCTGGTAAGCTGCGATCTGCCGCAGGCAAAGCTAGATTGTTAACCTCGCAAAAGATGCAGCAGTTTGAAGGATTATGTCAAAAGAATATCGTAAGAAAATTTCTAGTTGGTTATTTGGAATATTAAACGAATAACAAAACTAGCGACTCATATCTTGATATTTTAGAATCAGGTGCCAGACGAAGAATTTCCAACGACAAACGAAGACTTGGCTGGCTTCTGGGACATGGTGATGCTACAGGTTGTTCAAGTAAACGAACTCTTCGACCAGATAGAGAAATTAAGGAAGTCGCAATGGCAAGAGGTATGAACAAATTATTGTTGATACGGAATCGGGGCATCTAATTTTTTCAATTTATATTTCTTCTTTTCACTAAAAACTAAATCTTTTTAAATTTTTTGCGATTACACCTTCAGTACTTGTTTTATATATTTGTAGGTCGTACCAGATAAGAAAGCCTCGCAACAGAACGGTAAACGTCGAGTCATACCAGTCCACAAAGCGAAACCGACTGCGAACAGCGAGGCGAACAAAAAGGCGCGTGAGGCGAGGGAGCAGGCACGACGACAAATGATCGAAGAACGGAGACGAGCGATGCGCTCCAACGCGCAGAATGTCGACAATTCCGTTGAGATCTTTGCTCCTGAAACGTAACGATAAATTGAGTCCGAGTTTGACCAAACAATACTATAGCTCGTCATTGCGGCCCCTAAGAAATATTAGAGTACATAGACCGTCAGTTCGAACGTGAAAATAAAAAGGAAGAAAGAGCTTAGCTCGTATACGAGACGGTAACGCAGTCAGCTTCGGCAAAAAATCAAATTCGCGCTTGTTATATAATTATTCATTCAAAATATTATCCTTTGCTGCGTACGCGCGTGAATTACACGTGAGTTAAGCACGGCGAGGAACAGGAAAGTATTAAGCAGATAGATTATGTAATATGTGTTGAAATTGCTAAAAATTTAATACTACTGCAAATAAGAAAGAGAATATACACACACGTTAACGAGGGCAGGCGTTTACGTTTTGCAGAAATTTCTTTTTTTTTTTATCGCGAGCTTCGACGCGTCATGCATTATTCTGAGCATTCTAGCGCAATAACGCGACACGATGACTATGTGTTGCCTCTTGTCCATAGAGATATTTTATAAACGAAAGGTGGAAACATTTACTGTAGCACTTTATCAAATTGTTTTTCTACGTTACATGTCTCTGGATGGACATTATTAACTTATATTTATATAAATAGTAATAAGTTGCGTGTGTGCTGCAAAAGTTAGCAACTGAAGAAGGTATGTGGTCCCGCAAGAATCCTTTAGTGGAAATCAGTCGCATTTTTAAAATCAAGAGATGTGGCGCGTCTAGGTTAAGGATAAAGAAATGAATTTGAGAATTTGTAACATATATATTGACTTGATATTATATAATACTTTCTGGCAAGAAAATGCATTATTTACTAATTTATTCAAGATAGATTCCATTTTGATAATTCGTAATTTCCTTAACCTAGACAGGCAATTTATTACGTAGCTTATGTATGTAAATAGAATTAATAAATATTCACATTTGCACAAGGCTGACTCTACGCCAAGTGTTTGCCTAATAGCTTTTTCTATCAGACGTCGATAAAGTTTCCCCCGTTGAGAAGTATCAACAGCAGTTAGGAGTAAAAGGATTCCTATTATTCTTATTATCGTATATATATTGCGCGTCTCATGCCGATAAATATTATTTTATTATTGTTCTAATAATGATTACGTGTAATTACATCCTCACGTCTCCTGCGTAAAACATGGACATATAAATTAATTCCGTTCTCTTTAGAAAGAAAATTCTGTTCTCAATAATAGTATGTTTCCAGATTTCGCGTGCGAGACTCATCGCGCCACTCGATAGCTGACATACTTTTTGAGATTCTTTGTAAGATGATTATATTTAATGATTTATTGAATATTGCATATAACTCGGAACATTTATCGAGAAAAAAAAGAGAAAGGGAGAGAGAGGTATATCGGATGCGAATGCGTGGCAAATGCTGATAATATCTTTATCTTATTATCGTGACGGATCTCCGCGACGAGAATCCGACTGTGATCGACGTATGTGTCACATCCGCCGAATTTGACATTCCTGCGACAAGAGTATCTCTCGTCACGACACCATACACTTTTCTTCGCGTAATTGTACGTTACTCCTCGGCGTCCAATCAATGGTCAGCGGTTCTAACGGCAAGTCATCAACCAAATAACTCTCATACTCTAAGTAAATAATCACACGCTCGTCATCACACACGAACTGTAATCGCGATTTTGTTATAATGTTATATTTCTTATTATAATTGCCAATTACACTCGTCTTATTCGAAATTTTCATACAAATTCCCGGATAATTTATTAATTGTTAATTCCCTTGGTGCCTTCATTATTTATATATGTGTACATAATCGACTGACAGCCGATAATTTCATATACATGTATCTATTTAAGTTATACCATTCAATCGAATTTCACGAAATTTGTTGAGAATAAAATAAATAAATTCCATTATATATATTATATATTTATCAATCAGGCATGCCTGAAAACACCGTGAAAAAATATTAGAGATAACAGATGTTGAGAAATAATTAGATATATTCTTTCGTTGCGACAGTAGAATACATTCACCTTTATTCACGTCGAGTGAACAAAAAACGAACATCCACACATTTTATTTTATATTTCTCTTTAACATATAAAAACATGTATAAGATATAAAATAGGAATTCTCTGCGAGCATCGTAGGCGTCAGTATAAATTGCGGCACTAAGTGTGGAAAGACGGTAAGTACATCCAATATTTGATCATTGTGCATACAATACGTCGCGTATGACATTCACCAATAATGTTCATTTGCCTTGCAAACCCATAATTAAATTATTCGTGCAACAATTTCGACCACGATAAAACTTTCGTCTCATTCTGCTGCGCGATGAACACAACGAGGTGAATATTTCTGGTTGCACTGGTTTTCTTCTAGTATCCCATTTCGACGCCTCGCACCGTGGCACCCATTATGGCGAGGCCAGACCCCTCGCTGATTTTATTTGCATGCTCAGGCTAAGCATATTAGGGTCTTTCCTTCGTTCATTTTGTCCTGGACCTTGTCACTGGCCGTCGACTTCTCCGCCTGTCCGCTAAAAGCGGCGCAGACGAAGGTGAGAGCAACGCCGATCGCCGCGCTATAAAACGCCCAGCCTGTGGAAGAAACGATCTCTTGACAAATAAGTAAAAAAACACCTATACTCGAAACTGGATTTTAATATTTTTTAGTGAATTTATATTTGTTTTTTTTTTTCAATACTTTAAACTACACGTCAACACAATTGGTTTTGAAACACAGTCCTAAACTGAAATTAGAATAACAATATAGTAAACAAAATTGATTTTTTTATATTCTGTAGATTCTCTAATTTAAAACATTCAGTCAAGGATAGTCTTATATTTTATTTTTTTTTATGTAGCAAATCTAAGCAGAATAAAAAGTCATGATGACATCAAAATGATATTAAAGTAGCTCCAAAATAATTATTAAAAAATCACTTTTTGATCAATCACGATTCATTTTACATTATCGTTATCTATTCTGTTTGGGAAAGTCTATCATTATTCTTAGAACTGACATTTTCGTCGTAATTATTTAGAATAAAACTGTCTCTTAAAGAAAAGTAAAAAAATCTAGTTCTTTTTTAAACTAATTTTATAACTTTCGATGTTGAACATTTCATTTACCAAGACTGCAGTTAGCGAGATAGAAGGCATCGGCTTCGGGACCGCAGATCCTCTGTACTCTTTCAGCACCCCAACCGGCAGGATACAGAATCATCCCGAAAAGATATAATATTCCTATAAAAATGAATATGCAAGAATAGAACGACAATACAAAAAGTACGCTTTACATAGATGCGTTTCCCGATTATTTGATTTGTAAAATCATGACAATGGGATCGCTTTTTAAGGCATTTATATTCGTTGATTATTCCGGGCACAACCTTTCGCCACAATGGAGGTTGCGTCATTCGTACTCTCGAGATACCATTGTCAGGCTGAAAACACATTACGCACATGGAATACTCAGCTGCAACGAAGCGATCATTGCTTTCTGGGATCTGCGTCATTCTTACTAATGTCACTGAGAACAGGCCAACAAGCTTTAACCATATCGGGACAAACGTTGTAGTTTGTCAGGAAGAAAAAATTGTTGGGACCTAAATCCTGCTACACGTGAAAGAAAAAGAAATACAAGTATTTTTTTTTTTGTTTTGAAAAATATCGCTCATCAATTCAAGGATTATGTATCAGCCGCGAGCTAAGAAGCTTAGTCGGGGTTTCATCGTTTCGTCATCTCATCATCTCAATCCTCGCCTCCGTTATTGAGAAGCAACATTACCGGCAACGGCTTGCGCCACTCCCGCCAGATTGAAGATGCTCTTGCGGCCGATGCTCTGCACGCAGCATCCGAGCAGGGCGGCTATCACGGTCACCGACATCGCCGCCAGGCCCGCGGACAGGAAAAACAGGGACGCCTTCCAGCATCCCGGGAAGACGTTGGAATCCGTCGCAAAGCCGTCGACGTTGAAATTCGCGCAGTGCGTCTTGCCGAATAATCTCGTGCAACGATTGTAGATCCCGACGGTTGGTGTATACAGTTCCGTTCCGTTTTCTGAAGTTTCGAGGCGATAAACGATATATTATTTCAACAAATAGCCGATTTTAAACAACAATTAACTTAATCGGCAAAATTACTTAAAATTATTTAATAAAATAGTACCGATCGATTAAGTTAATCGAAATAATGACCCTAATGGTCCGCGATGATTCACCTTTGATAGCGAATAACGGGGATTTCGATATAAATTTGATTTGAATTGAAGAAGCTACTTACTTGTGTCCTTAATGGTCGGTGGTCCTACAAGCCATCTGGGAGTGATGAGGCCTGATAAAACTGCCATCAACGCTGCCAGAGATAAGAGCGTCCATAACAGACTGCGTCCAGTGACTATCACATAGCACATGCTGCCGATTGATTGATTCTCTATCTATGCCATATTCTTAGATCGCTCGACCGTGTCTGAAAAATAACATATCGATCCTTCATAAATTTTACATCTATCCTGCACTTAACAGGACGCTAAGCGTTCCAATTACCGACATAATTAACAAATGAGAATTCGTAAGAATTCTTCAAATTCCCGTTAAATAGGATTCGATGTTGGTAATTAAAGCGGTCGTGTTGCCTCTACCGACATTCGTTTTTAATGAGGGGTCGTGAACGAATAAACGCCAGAATAAATGCCTTTCATATTAGTATTTCAAGGAAAACGATGCGCGTCGTCGTTATTCGTGGTTCTCCTTCGTCGAGCGCGGGCATTAAAAGCGTGGCTGCGATACGAACCGAAACACGTAGGATACACAGATCTCGGGTTACGGCGCGGCGGCCAACAGTTACGACTTTTTATTCTGATTTCACGGAAATCGTGAAAGGGCACGGGGCCTCCTCGCCGGGTATAGAAATCACTCGACCCTCGGATCTAGCTCACGACACCGTGGAATCACCGACAAACGGACGCCGTAAGACATCCGTTTCGTTCGTGATCGACTCCGGGATCAGACCTTTGCGGTCGTCCCGGGAGATAGAGCGGTCTCTCAAAAGCACCGCCAATGATTTCCTTCATTGGAACAACGTAGATTAAAATAGGACTTACTATGAAGAATTTAATTAGACTTTCCAATAATTTGATTTATCACAGAATGAACGATTTCGTTGAAGTATCTAAAAGTTCAAATTCTCATTCAGGTTTGTGTCTAGCTAAATTTTTGAATACTTTAGCAAAAGTGTTTCTTTCACGCAGGGAATACGAGAAATATAATTTTATCGTAGTGATCGAGGGTGTTAAGAGTTTCTAATTTATTTGTACGCGAGCTCATTAATATGAATTTTAATATCAAGAGTTTTTTCTATTTAAATAATCTTTGAATATGATTAATTCGAAACGCAACCACTGCTCATCTTAGTTTTCAGTCGGAATAGGCCACTCTTCCCGAGACGTGTTCGTGGGCGGCGCTTTTTCGCCTTTTATGTCACACATCTTGCTCGATACCACTTTCTCTCTTTTTCTCGCGAGCGAGTGAGCGAGCGAGCGCACCTCTCAAGATTTCCTTGTGCTCTTCAAACCCGCAAACTTTAATCATCCCGGCCTCTTCACCACCAATCGAAAGGTTCACTTTGATCTCCACCGGCAACGAATCAACCAAGCAAAATGCGATCTATATATCAAATATGAAAAAAAGTACTTTCAAAACTTGAATCTTTTAATACAAATAAGCGAAGAGAGTCATATTCATGAATCAAAGCGGATATCCAATAATATTTTCGCGTGAATCTTACAATTTTCAGTTCCAGCAAATTGCGTGTCGATTATTTGTTGATCTTGTAACGCAGTCCTGAATTAAAGCTGAATTACGCGCAATGCCAAATTAAATTGACAGGCAATTTGATAATACCGATGTCAATTCTATGAAGACCTTAAAACACTGTAAAGAACTTGTCACGAAAAATATCCCAGCCAGAATTCGAACCTGGATTTATTCATTTCGTGATGGACGTTTTATCAATTCGTCCATTTGAATTTTTTGTAATTTTATATTTGTGAGTTTAAAGATCCAAACATCTCTTCGAGCTACGCGTCAAATTTCAAAGTTCTACTCAAACCATCGAATTATCGAAAAAAGAAAACACTCAACAGTATTATCGGAGTATAGTACCAAAGAAAATCGTTGGCACTGTTGCTTTTATTTCCGTCACTCTGCCTGCGACCACTTCACAGAGTGTGTTTACTTAGGATCACCCCCTAATCGCTGTTTATATTTGCGCTGTCTCGAACCCCGGAACATAAATGAATCTCTCTCTCTCTCTCTCTTTCTTTAAAAAAAATGACGTTGATGTATCGCGAGGGTGTTGTAAGAAAACATTGCTTTAAACCAGATTAATAGATCTCTTTAGCATTTTGACGACCACAAAAATCGAGAACTCTACTTATCAAAGCGTTAAAGCACTGTTTTCAAATAACTGTAAAACATAATGAACCCTGATATAATTCATCAATTAGCGATAATTAATTAGCTGCCATCGTCGAGCGAGTCATCTCTTCTATACTTAAGCGATTTTCCATCGCGTTCAGCTCCTTGTTTCGGCGTCCCACGATAGTCCGCCTTCGCACGTGTTTAAGAATTAATGAGCCGCTGGTTCAATCGTTCAATTGACAATCTATGCAATTCGAAACGAAGAGAGACAAGCGCGCTGCGTTGAACGCGCGCGTGGGCCGGCTGCTGTCTGCCCGACAGGCAGCTGCGCGTTTTTCACCTTTTTCTTTTTACTTTAATTATACCGGCTTTATTGTTACGTGTAGCGCTGCCACGCCTTCTTATAATGCGATACGGGCCCCTTTCGCCAAGACCGCGCGAGCCATCGAGTCGTGAATTAATCCTCAAACTCATACCGGGATGTCGACGCCTGCGGCGTCAAGTTTGCACGGGATTCTTCCCAACTTGGTGTCACTTTAATTATACCATCGTTCATCCATTCGCATTTTTGAGTGCAGTCTCTGCGTGCGAGTTTAAAACGGTCTTCGCCGCGCGAAGAGAACCAGGCTTATATAGCATCGTGGTGAAATCGACCGCGCCAGACACCAGAGATCTGGGCTTACAAGCAGATTATTAGCATTCTCCGTTGACTTACGGCTTTTCGGCCGTGAGTTACCGGACAGAGGACCCATTGGCGGATGACTAATGGTCGGAGCGTCTGTGCAACGGCTGGGAAAGAGGAGGGAGGATATTGCATTCCGCGAAGATGCGTGAGCCGAATGAAAGATTCAGATACCACCCACAGACGGCCCAGAATAGGATCCGAAACGTATACTGTATATATAATCTTGCGCGAAAGGATAAAGACGTGGAAGGATCCAGGACAGATTCTTAATTTATCGCTTACGGGCAAAAGAAGGCAGCGTCTCGGTAAGCTGTCGTGGAAGTGAAATCATTCGTCTGGAGGTGGAAGAGATCTCTCAAGGGACCCTGCCGTGGCAGGATTAACGCGCGACGCGAATCATCTTAATTGTCCCGAGAGAGCCTCTACCCGCGGCGTTTGAAAACAAGGCACCTACTCTCCTTACATAATCTCGCGAGTGCGCCATATGCGAGGCAGCTGTTGGACAGGTGCTCCCTTGCATCTCTTGTCTTTGTCCTCCTCCTTCATTCTCCTCGAGATCCAGTCTACGAAGAGAGGAAGAGAAACAGAGAGAGAGAGAGAGGAGGTGAATCACCTTTTTCTTTTTTTCTTTTGTAGCTTCACCAAGCCAACGTCTCGCTTACCAGTGATTTTACCCGTAGTGATTTATCGCAATTCCGAGGGCGATCGTTTTCCAAGCGATCGACCAGTCCTAGACCCGTGCCGAGCGTGCGACCGATCTGCCACCATCTACGGGAAATCTACATGAGACGTAATTAGACTTCCAATCGCGCCGTGAGTCATTCGACATGAACCGTGTAACCGACAAGTGGAACTCAACATGCCAGTTGATTATTGCCAGACACTTAAAACGACGTTCCGAAAAAAAGGTTTGACGGAGAATTACAGTTTTATTTTGAATAATAAATTACCGGATGTAAGAACGTGAAGCTTTACAAGATCTGAAAATATATGTTTCATGTACTTACATATATAATGCATACACAGTTTGAACCGTAAAGCTTCAGGATATATTCGAGATATCCATCTTATGCTTGTTTCCGCCAATGTATTAATTAACTTTAATTACTCGATTTAACTTAATTTGTGTCTTTTCTAGTTCTAAAAATTAAAAGAGATAAAGTTGAATCGAGATTAAAGTTAATCTACATTAGCGGAAACAGGCATAAGATGGAGACATCCTGAAGTTTTACAGTTCGCAGAGGATGTACGTGTAAAAAAACATGAGGCGCTCATGTCTGTGACAGATTTCGTCGTTCATCATCGCGACGATTATCGGTATCGATTAGCGGAAGTGCGGCGATGTATACGCAAGAAATTGCTTCCGAGCGTGAGAATTCACGCGTGATAAGCGTGTCTGGCGTTGCAGACCGCAATCCTAACGACGGGATAATTAAGAAACGACGGCCCTAAGGCTTAACGGTGATCGGCTCGCAACGAAGACTCGATTAAGATAACCGCCGATCGGTTTTAGGTCCGGCATACGAGCGATCCATCGAAAAGAATCCTCGTACGATCGCAACGATTTTAAATTTTTCGTCATTTCTGGACCGACGTGTAATTTTCGCGCGCAAAAGAAATGTGTCGTTTGTATTTTTAGAATAAAACGCATCGCAGTCGTGCGAAATGCAAAGCGGCGGAAACGTCTTTGTAGCAGAAAAGGCGGCTGTCTAACTATTATAAAATGTAATATGATCGGTTCGTGCCCTCGCGTTACTTGAACTTCCAGTCACGTATATAGATCGCGTATATGCGATGTTTAGATTAGACACGCGCTGAAAATGATCCGTCGCGTTTAACGGCGGCACTTTTGCCGCACTCCCGGGTGTGCACGCATACAAGTTTGTTGTTAACGAGCTTATCTCGTGCCTAAGGAAGTTCCACACTTGCCGCCCGCGTCTGCGTGCATATTTCTACGCGCACGGCATTAATCGCCGAAGGCGATCGCAAGGCCAGCACGATTAGGTGTGCCCGTTTTAGCCGCGCTTTCCTGCGCTCGTCGCGTTTCAAGCGAAATGGATGAGACGAGTTTGAGTTCCCCGGAGAAATAGAAGGTAAGAGAGAGAGAGAGATGAAGCATTTATTATTACTTTAGGGCAAACCCTTTAAGAACGTATAAGTGAACAAGATTTTCAATAAAAAATAAGCGCAAGATAAGAAGAAGAGAAAAGAGAGAAAAGTTAAACGTCTGATATAAAGAGTAAAAAGAAATATAATGCAAAAGAGAGGTACATAAAAATAAAATTATTTAAATAAAGTAAAGAAGGCGATAACATAATGACTGAGCGAGAACATAAAGGAGAGAGAGAGAGAAAGAGAGAGGCAGAAAGTGAAGACGAAACGAAGAAACAAACTCAGGGAACACGTAACTGAAACGGATGGATCCACGGGCGATTCCACGAACGCCGTTAATCACCGCAGTTGCTCGAAATCGAGATTATTTCCGCACTACTCTTGCAAGACTCACGCGATCTCGTTGTTTCACGACGCACTTAGAACCATGACGTTGCTCGCTGCCGGTTCTACAAGTAAGATGAATCCACGGTGGATTCAGAAATATCTTCGGAGGTACGAGCAAAAGGGCGAAAGACAGATCACGTTTATCAAGCCGTTCGAACTAGAGAATGAATTGATTCTGATGGTGTAAAATAATACAAAATGATTGTGCACTCCTCGTAATAAATTCTTCACAGTGTTTTAAGATGCTTATCAGCATTTCATATCATTAAATTGTTTATTTATTTAATATTTGTGATATTACCATCCCGCAGTTTAAAATTTCTTTCAAGATATATCTCGAATCAACACGTTGTTTTCCTGAATTGAATGTGTTTGTATTTAATCGTATTCGGTTCTAACGAATTTTGTTAGATTTATCTTACTGATATAAATTACGGAAAAGAGGGGAGAAGAGACTGGTTTTCTCTTTGAAAATTATAGATACTTCTTGGTCACTCCTCTGTTAAATTCCTACGATTACGAAAGGATGTGTTAATACGAAACTCCTGGCCACTAAGGTGAATTTGTTTATCATTTTTGACGAGCACCGCTGCCGGATAGCATTAACATTCTCTAACATTGCCGGGAGCACGCACGCACGCACGCAGGCGGCTTCATTTATGCGTGCACACGCACGAACGCCCAGCCAATTTATATTTATGATGTATCGGGCCTCGATGACACAGCGACTGGCTATGCTGAACTCGGACCAGCGTGGAGAGAAGGCTAGGAAGAAAGGACAAGATAGAAGCAATAGACAGAAGAGCGGCCGACTGGGAGTGGGAGGGAAAGGAAACAGAAAGAGAGAGACGAGAGGCAGCGAGAGAGATGAGAGAAAACACCCACGGAATGTAAAACGGTTCAACTGCTTGTTCCTCTGTGGGTTTACTACCACTTCCGTTCGACTTGATTGCGAAAGAGCGAAAAATTCACGACGGACAATACATATATATGTAAGCTCGATATGCTAAAAAGGTACGATCGCACGAAACTATACCTACCACATAAATTAAAACTCCGTTTTAAATATCCTGTTTGTAAATTAGAATTCTCGGAAGTCAGAAATGAGGAGCTTCTAGCGGAGAATAAAAAGAAAGCCAAATCGTATAAAATCGTTATCTTGAAGTTGATCCTCTTCGTATTTCCCTCGACTTCCCCATCTTCTCGTTTGGACGAGACATATTCGCGTGAAGCTCGTATTCTTTTTTCCTCCTCTTTATTCCTATCAGGGACGTATTAAATGCTCACGCTCGTAAAAGTAGCCGATTCGATTGGCGGTCGTTACTCTTCCCTACAGCTCATTCTTCTGCGCCCGCTCGCCACGTGTTCGGCCAGCTCGCGCATTTGCGTGAAAACGAAACACGCGGTGCATTTTAATGATCGTTTCGCGGACGTCGGCTTAAATAATGCGCGCCCATGCGTGACGCTACTTCACGAGGAAGGGTTCTCGAAGCGGAGAAGAGCGGATTTCCCGATAAAGTGGGCGTGACACTCGTGAGAATCCACTTTACGATTTCGATTCATAATCACTGTCGCAACATGCAGAAGATGGAAATACATTCTCATTATTCACGCAGAATTTCTTGCTCATCCCTTTCGCAATTTTATAGTATCATTATATGGCTGTCTAAGAAGAATTACATGCAGCTGTACTACATGGGTGAGCATAAGAAGGCTCTTCAATGGAAATGCAAAAATGCTACTACCTTAAGTTTTACTTTTTTAATATGGTGCAGTTTTTTTATTCGAGGTACGAAGATACATGTCACTTATTTGTTCGAAATACCACTCGAATTTTATTTTTTTAATTCGGTACAACAGTTTTTGTTCAACGTACAAAGAAGTATGTATCGTTTAGATTTTATTTTTTTAACGAAAAAATATGTATGAAACGTCATTATCGTCGCCCGGACTGCGGAGAGGGATGTGAAAGATTCCTTGCATCACAGAATCTGAATCAATTGGTGCTTTCAACGGTTGTCCATCGTATCTCTCGATGATAGAGTGATTGAAAGCAGAATGCAGTTCTTTGAAGATCTTTACTAATAATAATTATTGTCGTATATATAAATATTAGTAACGTTCTTCTGAAATTTCTCTTTTCCTCTATTCTTTATATCAAGTATTCTCATTTCCGATTAACCTTCTCGATTCGATCATCATTTCGTGTCTCGTACACCTAGTGCTCTGACCCACTTGAGAGCTGGAAAGAAAAGACCCGGTCCCCATAGTAACCGGGGAACACCCTTTTGTTCCATCAGTCGCTCTCTAGACGCGAGTCGCCCGCATTCCTTTCTCAAAGAAAAAAGAAGAACAAGCAGCCCCCTTCCGCGTTGAAAAAAAAAAAGGAATAAGGTGAATTTACAAGCGGCTGGTAACAAGCGATCGACCGGCTGCACCGAGTTGCATCGGCAACATCTGGAAATACGATTTGATCTCAGACGATCTCTGCACGTTTTTACGCTTTACAGCACCCGATGCAAAAACTACTCAATGGAGAAAAACCGCGAAAATTTTTAAACTTGGAGAAAACTTGAGATTAATTTAAATTTCCTCTCTCTCTCTCTCTCTCTCACTCTCTCATGTTATTAAAATAAAATAAAATATTTCATTTAACTATTATGATTCCGAAGTCGCGATTGCATACGTTTTAGTTTTTTTAGCCGTAAAAAACCGAGAGATTCTCACATAAACGGAATACGATTGCAATGAACATTCCACAGACTATCCCATTTCACTGACGATGAGCAACGAGGAAAAATTCCATTGCGATTATCGTGTTACGCATTAAATTTCATCTATATAAGTTTCATTTTCCATTACTCATCGAACGTGCTTCCAAAACAAACGTAAAGATAGACGGCCCGGAGAATAACAGAACCAGAAGACCAACCAACTAGAGTAATGGAAACTTGCCGGTTGGTCCATGAAACATAACTACCGACGACAAGGCGGTTTAATTGACGTCGCAATTTGTACCAATTTAGCGCCGCCCGAAATTAATATTAACGATCGCGCGCGGGCAGCAAGTCGTGTTCCCGCGTGCAGAGGAACGAAGCGGACTGGGAGGAAATTCGAAACCACCCCGGGATGCATAATTCATAATACCAGGTGATTACGGCGCGCCCTGACATCGTGATGTAAACACTCGTAAATCGATGCAATCGGTGAGAGACTCGTGGAACGCGAACGAGCGATGATTCTGCATGACGAGAACCCTTACTCCTCGTAATGATAATCCCTTAATCTCTTCCGCAATGGATTGGCGCAGCCATAAATTTTTGTTTCGCTCCGATCTCCCCGAATAACTCGACGATCTCGTGCAAAATAATTATTATTCTCGTCGGAATTCCCTTAGGGGAATTTCATGGAGGACGCTGTTTAAAAATTAAAAAATACAGTTCCTTATAATATTTTTTAATATAATGGCATTAATAATGAAGAAAGACACGGCGATAATCCGCAAACCTTCTCGTATAATTGAAGAAAATACCCGTGAAAGCACCAAAAACGTAATATTTTTTAATATCGCATAATTAATTGCGTAATTAAGAAATTACAATTATAGGATAATACAAATGACAGTAATTTGGACAACGCGGCTTATTTTTCGTCTCGTTGAAGTTCTTTTGTCAAGAATTTTGTAAAGAACTCTGTTTTTGAAAATTAAAAATTCCTTATATAGAAGATTCCTTAATAATAACATTGCATAATTAAGAATCTGCAATTATAGAATAATACAAATAACAATAATTAGAACAATGCAGCTTACTTTCTATCTCATCGGAATTCCCTCGTTAGGAATTTCGCGGAGAACGCTGCTTGAAAATTAAGAATTATAATGTTCCTCATAATATTTCTTGATAGTAATGTTGCATAATTAAGAAACTACAATTATAGAATAATAAAAGCGACAACAATGTGGCTTACTTCTCGCCGCCTCTCTTCCGTGTTTGACCCAGCACGGTTTCTAGGCAAAATCGGCGTTTCATCGACAAGTAACGTTTCGTGGTTTAGCGTATCGAACACCGGAAGTTATTGTTTCGGTGGAGCACGCGCGATTCCTCGATCGTGTTCAATCGCGGACTCGAAACGCGCACATAATCCAACTCGCGTGCAGCTCACTGGACGCGCAGGGCACGACTGAAGAACGCGCGGCGTTCGCTGGAGCGGCGCTATAACGAGTAACGAGACGCGAACTTGTCAGCCGCCGCATATAAGCGGGGACAGAATCGGACATGAATCTCATTTCGATGATAGATCGAGAAATCTATCATGGGCGAGACAATGAATATGCGCGTTCATTGTGATAACCAAAATTTTCTAGAGTCTCAAAACCAAGTAAAATTAGGCAAACGTATAATCTACATGTTTTACATATCTTAAATATTTTATTTAAATAACTTCACAACTCTCTCATCGTTTGAATTGTACCACAATATACAATTCCAATTCAATAGTGACTCGAATAAATTATTCAGCGAATGTTCACCGATTTAATTATGCAATTGTGTTAAAAAAATAATTTAAAAAGTGTCAAACGTTTCACTATCGCTTTTCGACAAGTTGGAAGATTTTTCAAGTGTGTATAATTTGCGACAATTGTGAAACTTGTACGATACATATAAAAGTATTTCCTTCAAAAACCAAGCAGGTATGTTTAAACAAAACTAGATTATGGCGTCGAATTGTTTTCTATCAATAGCGTCACATTATGAATAATTCTGTTCCGGCAAGAATCAAACAGGAAATATAAAAGTTGCTTTATACTTCAAATAATATTTCTTTCTTTACCTTTATCATAATATTATTAAAAAAGATATATTATAATAAAAAATATAATTAAATAATAGTTAATAATAGTAAATATAAAATTTTTGTAAGAACCAAACAAGTCCAGAAATTATTTTTTTTAATGGGTCTTCAAAATATTTATCACAAATTTTTGAATGATTTAAAAATAAGATCTTTCAATTTATTTTTTGAAAATATTTAACTTTTTGGACTCGTTCGGTTTTTATGAAAAACTATTTAATAGTATTTTTCCTCTACTTTCCTATAAAGATTTATAACCTAGAATTTTGTTTTATTAGTCAAGCGCGTGCAACATCGATTTAAGACAGCTTTCCGTTTATCCCCTCATAGCACGAGATGTGTCATCGATTGAGCCTAGAGTTTCACGGGCGTCATTTGCGGCGCCGTTAAGGCCCTCGAGACACAAATCATTTTGGTAATCGTCCCCACAGCGTCCATAATTACAGACTTTAATCTTACAAAGCCCGACAGAGCCAGTCTTTATCGCGCGACTCGATCTTCGCCGCCTCCTGTTACGTAACCATGCATCAAAGCTCGTTCAATACTTTTCCTGAAGGCTTTTCCCCGTCTCTCTCCCTTTCCCCCCCTCATTTAGGTTACGCGTGGCTTCGTAGGGGTTAGTCACCCCTATATTTCCCGAGCATTAGATTACATGTCATGTTCGCAATGAGGGGTGCCGTAGACATCCCCAGTGCTCTGCGAATATATTATATGTAAAAGGTCGACTTGTTTCAATTACAAGATGAAATATTAAAAATCAAGAATTTCTATTCTGGAAAAATCTGTAATAATAATCACTCAACAATTTGAGAGTAAAAAGTTTTTTAGAAAATATTTAAAAGCTTTTAAATACACCAAGTGTATTATAAAAGAAGAGGGACTTACATAATTACTGTAAAAAATAATACTCCTTTTTTGTGCAAGAAATAAATATATAATCTTGAAAAAATCCCCTCGTATATAAACAAATTTTTGTAAATCGAGAATTTTGATTTTCATACTTTAAAGTTCCGAATTCATCATACTATATATATTATATTATTTTGATAGAGTTCAACAGTAATAATGTTTATTTTACAACAGTTGGAAGTTTTCTTCGTTGAAATAGGATTATTTTTTAGATCCATAAAGTATAATTCAATCGACACAAAGTGTTCACTAAATGCTGTTTTCTTTTGTAAGCGGCCATTATATATATTGAACGCTTTTTGTCATTTTGTTATTCTTCTATTCACAATAGAAATCGCTGAATAAACAATATTAGGAGGTTAAACATGTCAAGCAGAAGAAGCAAGCATGCTGCGTCAATAAAAGATCGAGAATCCTCAATAAACAGTTAGTATTTTTGTTAGAAAAGTTATAAGGAATTAAAAGAAAAATAGAAATGTAGAATTATTAACATAATTGATATATTATATTTTTCATTAATATTATTTGCTGCAACAGATTATTCGAGAAAGAACTCTCAAGAAAATTTTATTACAGAATTTTTGACACATTGCGAGGAATATGACATAGAACAGTTACCTAGTTTTGTGGTAAATTTTCAGAAATATTATTATAGCAAAAACCTGCTTGTATAATTCATTTCGATTACAGAAACATTGCTCTTTTACAGATCAGAGATGGCATAGAACAATACACAAAGATTGAACCAAAAAAGAAGTATTTGATGCACTAATTTGATGCACATTAAAGCCATCGTACACAAGTCGATGTAAAGATGTGTGTCTTATATAAATATATAAATAAATTAAACCGCGAAATTCTTGATACACTTTATTATATGCTGCTTTAATATATATTAGAGATAATTTTATTTCATTTTACACTCAGACTAAATCAAAGTGCCATAGCTTTAATATGCATCAATGCGTTAAAGCATTTAAACCGAATTTGCTATAAATATTCCGACTATTCCTGAATATTCTCATCGGGTTTTGAAATTCACGGTTTATTTAGGGTCAAAATGGACCAGAATATCCCTATCTTTTACGTTTCTTTTGAAAATCCTAAAAAGATGGAGACTGTACGGAAACTGGAATGTAAAGATAAGTCGTGGAAATACATTAATGTTTACAAATTATAGAATTTACAATTAATTATAATGATATATGCGCCTTCATGTGCTTGTTAATATTTTTCATATTGCACGACAGGAAGTATCGATTTGCATCCTCGATGCATTGAACACTACGCTGCAGAAATACAACACTGTCACGGTGCTTAAGTAAGACAAAATTTGAAAATCGACCACGTAATTTGACATTGTGACAACTGATAATTGTGTTCTCTCAGATTACCCAGTTGTCAGATAAATGCCTATGGTATCCTGCAGATAGCACAAATGCTGACGGAATTTGAATGTTTGAACGATTTGAATCTGGATGACAATCCGAATGTGCAAGAGAATTGTTATCTGCTTTGCGCACCGGCAAAAAAGTGCATCGCGAATTCAATATAATCCCATCCGATATAATTCTCGCGACGAACGCCTGATTTATACGAAAAAATGCATGTTCCAGTTTACGCTATCTGTCACTGAGGATGTGTAAATTATCCGATAACGGTATACGAAAGATCGCAAACGAGTTGAAGTATCGGGACCCACCAAACGACCCAAAATTGATCGCTCTTAATGTGGCGAATAACGATATTACGGACATTGGTGCCGAGTATATCGCTGCGATGCTTCGAACTAATCGGTTATGTAGCTTCTAAATGTTTCTCAAAATTTTAATTTGATTGATGACACTAATCTGTCTCTCTCTCTCTCTCTCTCTCTGTGCAAAAGTAGTTTTAATAAAATGTAACATTCGCTGACATATTCGTAGATCTTTGCAGAGCGTGGTGTTAACCGGAAACGAGATACAAGACGACGGCGCTTCACTGATAATCCAGGAACTTGCCATGTATCTTTGACAGTAGCGATTAATTTAGACAAATTTCTTAATTTAAGCCGTTATCTTTAATGATATATAACGCGATAGGTCCACTTTGACTCATGAAGAAATCGTCGACCTTAGACGTCGCAGATTTATCGAATTGGAGGGCAAGGTTGATACATTATTTCGCCGTAATGTTACATTTTATTTGTTAATAAACCAATGATTATATATCATTATAGTTTATATTATTTATAGTTGGACAGCCGAAACACTCAAGAAAAAGAACAATTGAGAGAAAATGAAACATTTCAATATCAAAATCTACTCCAAAATTCTAAAATAAGTATGTTTAACGCTTTTCTGCAATTTGCTTTAAAGTTTGCTTTACATATACATAAAATAGTTCTCAAAATGCAGCGAGTCAAAATAATTCGTCATCAAAGATGAGAATCTCATTTAATTCTCCGTCGATGTCTGACAGCTCCATTCAAGTATTATTAATATAATTTTTATCATTTTCCTTTAATCATTAATGTTCTGTAATACATGTATCAAGAGGCTTGCAGATATCAAAAAAACTTCCGGACAACAATATTAATCATCCATTTACAAAAGAAACTGTAGCAATAAACGGTTGTGTAATGACTAGTGGAAATTTGAATTTGCAACATTTGAGCCTAAGTTGTAAGTTTTCATTGTATTATATATAAATGTACGTGGTCAGCTGATTTCTGTTGAACACGAACAACTTATTGCTACAAATTACGTGTCTACGTTTAGTTAATCGCCTGACGAATAAAACGTTGAAGAAACTGGTGTCGTGTCTGCATTACCAGAATTATATGCTATTAGGTAATTACAGCAGAGGGTTGCTACATGTATTTTTGGAGGTAACCGTTTTTAAATCACATGCAGTGTCAATATCCAAGATATTTTTACTTTGCAAGTTTCTGTCCCTATAATTATATAGGGTAATGACATTAAAAAGGATGAAGACTGGACAACGTTTCAAGAACTTTTGTGTCGCAGACGACAGAAGTATCAAACAATACGAGATGCGAACTTTAAAGACTTTGAAGATTCCATCGTATCGGTTGAAAGCGAAGTCTTGCGGCACAAAATCAGTGTACAGTTATGATTTCTCTTAATTGATTATTCTCGTCGATCGCTTTGGTTTCTAACATTTTTCTATTTAAAACATTTATAATTAAGACTTCAAAAGTCAGTGCTAATTTCCTTACTTATTCAATTAGCTTTTTAATATCATGCAAAGATTCTTTTACATTAATATTTTTAAACGAAAATATTACGTGAGTTAACATATTGTTGTGAAGTATTCGTTTATTTATTACAATTTATTTATAAAAGATCACTAGGAAATGGCGATTGAAAGAAAGGACTGTATTGTGGAGTAAAAAAAACTGTATAAAAGAATGTCTGCAATTTCATTCAGCCGACAATCAGCCGGTGCTGATCTCGCTGAATTTTTTCCAGCAAAATTATCATTTTCACAGGAATTCTTTTCTTCTCTTTTTACAGGGACTTCATCTTTAAATCCGACTCGTAATTCTCGAATTGAGTTCGTCGCACACCATATGGGGTGGTATGATCAGTGATGCAATTATTCGGAGATCTTATTGGATGAAATCTTATCTTATCTCACAATACTCAGTATGCGATACCCTTTGTATCGAGGGTATCCGAGCATGAGCTTCGTACCACGACTACTGTCATTTTCGGTCATTGCACTTCGTGAAATGTTACTGCACATCGCTACCGTTGCTGTGCTCGTTAACATCGCCATTATAGAGCTGGATTCCTTTTACTCCCTTCCGCCCAAGAAAAATTCGGATGCGGATTTCTTATCAGACGAGGTAACGAGAGTCGACGTTATTATACAATAACAAAGTACCATATATTGTAAATTCTGAATCACGCGTTTATGTTGTATTTTACGTGCATTCTTAGAAATCAACCATTTTTCTCTGTAAAGTTACTAAAATTGCGATTCCATTCCACGATCGTTATTTTCGTGTCTGTTCGACATTGGTGTGTAAAAAGTGATAATAAAAGTAAAATGTGGAAGATAAAATCGTGAAGTTAAGTAGTTTGTGTCTCGCATACAGCAGCACGGTCTAAATTAAAAAAAAAAATGTTTTTTTTGTTAAATAATGTGTATGCAATAAATAGAAGAGTGATTTGATAAAACAATTCAAAATGAAGCTCTGCTCACGCTTTATTACTTGCTTTTACATTTGAAATCGAATAATGTTTTATGTGACGGAGATAAATATAAATTTAAATAATCGCGCCAATCGATAGCACTGACATCTAGCATCGACATTCTATCTATCGCGTCAGCTTAAGCTGCGTTTACAATGAAATTTTAAGACGTGAAAGTTAAGCTTCAACCTTCATCCGTAAAAAAATTACCTATAATAGTTGCTTATTTTCCTCACATTCATCTGTGATTGGTCAATTTCTTACGCTTAAAAAATCTCATTGTAAACGACACTTTATATACATAGTACAACTGTATCGCAGTTATATAACTAGTATAAGGAACATTCCACGAAAAAAATGCGCAAAAATACATAGGTCGCAGATCTGAGTCATTGCCTATGGAACTTTTGTTTCTAATTTGATTCAATGAAATAGAATGCGAACATACGTTTTACAATAATCTTTGAAAAATAAATATTCCTCTACTCGGTCCTGACGTTAAGCTGGTGTATATGATCACGTGACCTCCACGTGGACATTAAAGGTGCCGACAAGAACAAGTGCAGAGTGCTCCTACTGGTTATACTGATTATACTGCATGTGTTGTTAAGTTCTCCGTTTTCTTTTTGCGGTTCTTATGAGCGGATATATGACTCGGGTAGATCTCAAACGTTCTCAGAGTGCCGAGAGATTCGAACGATACTTTTTGAAAAACAGTCTCTCGTAATCTTCTTTGACCTTCACATTTCTGTTGTAAAATATACACATAATAGATATATAATATCTATTAAGACTCTTGTTCTTATCGATAAGACTTATCTGTAAATTGGTCACGTGAACGTGACATAATCGCCGCGCGAATAAATCGACAGTCCACCGGCGCATCCGGGTGTAATAGTGTCAACCGGAAGTCACGTGTAATCCGGCTCTCCGGGACTTTCGAAAATGTACGAAAACTTGTTCAAGAGTCCGCTGCACCGCATATTCGTGTACGGCACGTTGAAACGAGGCGAACCGAATCACGGCCTCATTAAGGACACCGCGAATGGCTACGCCAAGTTCCTAGGCCTCGGCAGAACGACGGTCCAGTATCCTTTGGTGATCGCCACGAAGTATAACATCCCGATGCTGCTGAAAAAACCCAATACTGGCAACGTGAGTTGAGAAAGAACTTAGTTTTAAGTTCTTCGAATAAAAGAATTCTTATTTAAATTGGAATTAAAATCGCAAGCAGTAAGGATCATTAAAGTGGACGGTAATGGAAGATTTAAACTAGTTAATTAATTCAAGTTAAGTTCTTCAAGGCCTTTTCCTAGTAGTACAATTCATTGGCGCAATATTGGCCCAATATATCCTTAATGTATGCTAATACTTGTAAAATATTGCCAATGAATTGTTCTACTAGAAGTCCTTGAAGAACTTAAATTAATTAACTAGTTAACTAATTTTAATTAGTAAACTGGTTAACTAATTTAAATTAGTTAACTAATTAACTTAAATTAATTAATTAACTTTTCCATTACCGTCCACTTTAATGATCCTTACTGCTTGCGATTTTAATACCAATTTAAAGAATTCTCTTTATTCGTAATGCTACGTCAATCGTGATTGACGTCAATAGAACGTTTCTTTTAAACAGTACGTGTTCGGAGAGATATACGATGTAGATTCCAACATGATGGAAAGACTGGACGAATTAGAGGAACACCCAAAGTTTTACGTGCGAACGGAAGAAACAGTTTTGCTGACGTCGGAAGCTTCGCTTAAGCCCGGAAAAACTTTCGAAGAGGTAATGGACTTACGCACGTATTCTGGCGAAAATAAAAATCAGAGCTTAAATCGAATGTAAGGAAAGTGACACAAATTAAAACGAAACTCCAAAGAGGCGAAATTTGAGACAACAGAACATAAAGGAAGCATAAACGTTTTTACGTTTTGTTGCCTCAATTTCCTCTTAGAAGCTTCGTTTGGACTTCTGTCACTCTTCTATTTACATTCGACTTCCTAATTTTTATTTCTGGCAGAACACACGCAGGCATGTATACTTTTCTTCTAACGCGAACGCACTCCTTTCAGGTCAGCGAGTCGACGAAAGCTTGGGTATACTTTTTGCCAAAATTCAGGTCCTCTCTACTAGACGGTGCCATGTACGCATCTTACTCTAACAACGGAAGTCATGGGCTGAAGTATTGCGAGAAGTATGTTCGCGATCCGTCCTACGATCACAGAAAAGAGGTGCTATAAATCATTGCCGGCAACTTTTGTCTCTTTGCAGCTACGAGGAGGAGGCATCGAGCATCGACGACGTTCTTTGAATATCTGATTACACTGTCATGGCGAGTGCTCTCTCCCATGATAGATACCGTTAATCTTTGTAAATTCGGGGAAAGTAACGGTAGAAAACAATGAGTAAGGCTGTTTTGTATAACTCTACGGACAGTGGCATAAAGTTTCAAAGCTACATCTTTTAAGAGGAAACAATTCCATCTCTAACCAATTAGATAAAAATAATTTATACACATAAATTATTTTTATTTAATAGATTTATATATATATATATATATATATATATATATATATTAGTTCGATATATTTTTTTTAATTTTACACAAACCTTATACTTTTAAAAATAAGCTTATAAAAAATGACAAAACTTGAAAAATTGAAATACAGTATATATGCTGAGCAAAGCGAAGATATCGCGCGAATTAAGTATATCTGGCATAATGCATGCATGAGCCTTTTATACATATATACCTTTAAGTTCTGTTTTATATCTATAAGTTCGTTTTACTACTGAACACTCTTTTACTATTCCCTCCTTTTGAGAAAAAAGAAAGATACTTCTTGTGGGCCTGAACAATATAATAATCCGTTTTTTTTTTATCTTTGAGTGGAAAGACTTAACCGACAGTGAACATATAAAATAGGACTTTGCAAATGAAGGAACGGAAGAAACATGCAAGTATCTCGGTGTGATTGAATTTTATTAAATACGTCACGTACGCTCGCATCCCACATTTTCGCGCACTCTCACTTCCTGTCATTCTATCGCTCGCTCTCATGTAACAGTAGCGATAAAATTATTGTATCTCAACTATTCTGTAACAAAGGGCAGGCTAGTCCGCGTTGCCGCGACGATCAAAATCAATTCGAAACTGTCTCCAAGAGGCACCGGTATTGCGCGTTTTCCACCGCTTGCTTAAATTAAACTTCTCCTGGCGCTATAATCAATGCGTTGTTAACTCCACTGCCGTATTTTCGATCCATTGATCGTGCTCATAAAAAGACGACCGGCCGGATCGTTCACGCACACAAGCGATTGCTTGCAACACGATTGTGTGCTGCGCTTCAGGAATCGGTCGATCGATGATATACAGTACGGCAAATTAAAAAAAAATGCTCGGAGGCAGTACGTACGAGTTATCCTAAGAAATTTATTTATAAATAATCACATTTTATCACACGCTATACAAGAATTCTTATTATTATCTACCGTTTCTGTATGGCATTCCCCTCATTGCGTAAATAACACGCGTCACCCCGCCGAGGAGGATCCGCCAATAACGAGAAACCGTCTCCCAAGAAACGGAATCGATATTTATTTGCCATATATTCTTTTCATCGTGGGAAAGAAATTCTCATATCAACAAAAAGAGAATTATACAAGTGTCAACAAAAGCGTACATAGGATTTCCATTTTATGTTTAACACGAGTGTATGCGTATGTCTTTCTCCCTCCTATTTTGTAACACAACACCACTGCGACACGGTAGCTTGTGTTTCATGTTTTTAATTAACTATTTTGCCCCTCGTTACTCTCACTCAAAGTTGCGTTCGTGTTATTTCGTCGTCACCCTTATTGATTCCGCACCATTCGAAAGCCCAACCCCACGAAATTTGATTAATAATATACATATAATATATATTTATACCTTAATTTTTATCTAGAAATTTCCGTTCGTTGACCGACATTGCCATTTTGAGCGAAGCGACACTCTCCTTCGAAAGTGGAGAGAAAAATAGAGAGAGAGACGGAGAGAAAGAGAAAAGAAGAGGAAAGACTCAAGAAGCATCTCGCGATCCTTCGAGACTATTATTCAAAGGTAGCTCTTGAACAGAGCCGCTTAGATTAATCGTGAATTTCGATCTCGACGTTACCGTACCGATCTCGAAGTTTATCGTGTTCGGACGTCAACGAATGATCAGTCCTATTTACATCGATAATACTCAATGAGAAGGCATCGATCGTGGCAGTAATTATGCACGATAAATAAAATATAGCACCGTATAAAAAAAAAGAAAGTGCGAATATACATAAAATACCTTAACGAACGATACTTTTTTCTTTAGACTACAATCCGCGCGTGACGATAACACATACTCACGGTAACAATGTTGTTCCGGTCCGCCACTTTTTTTGAAAATTCGAACGTCGTCATCCATTCGTCCTGGCGCTTTCTTGGAAGCAGCATACTACACACTATGCTGATTACAAAAAATTAAATATAAAAATCGATTTCCACGTTGTGTCTACACGGTATGAAAATAAGCTTGCGCACATGCGGTATTCATTTCGAGTTAGTTACAAGGTTCATGAGCGCACGTGTGTGCAAATACTTAGGATCGACGATCGGTCCCATGATCATTTTAGCATCGCCAACGAGAGAGAACCGGAATTAGTATCCCCGGAATTTCACGAAGTTGGGACGTATGTACGTGCATGCACGTTCTATAATATACACTGCGTCCTAGTCTAGAAAATAGATTTTCTCGATGAGGTTGGGCCACGAAGCAGGGAGGGGCGACGATGTGATATTGATTGCGTATTTGATTCCATCGAGACAGGCGTTTTCAGCTCTGATCTTGCGATAAGGCGCCGTACTTGTTGCCAAGCGAGAGCTTGGGTGTTTGAGCTTGCGATTCTGGCACGTTGTACGATCTACTGCCACCTCGGTTGCGCACTTCTTCAAACACTCCCTCCTCACGCCGTCTGTAATTAAAATCACTCGTCGTATATTTAAACACATCGTCACTTGGTGCAACTCAACATTACTCCTCTTCGTTCGCATGACAAACATTTTGCTCTGAAGCTAATGGAACATTATTATGGAGACCTTGCTTGTCATCTTACCGTCTACTACCCCATGGACCACTGCCATTATTTTGCGGCTGAGGCTTGGAGTTCAGTGTGGGGAAGTATTCCTCACTATTTATATCAGGTGCGACATTTCTTCCTCGTGGTCGCGGACTAGCGAATGTTGGTTGATTTCTTAAATGGGGGGCTTTGTAACTATTTCCAGTGGAGGCGGTCGCGGCGGCGGCGGTGGTGGTGGCGGCAGCAGCAGCAACCGGAGGCGCGGGTGGTGTCGGCACCACCTCCGGTGTTTCTGGCGGCAGATCCGGTTTCTTCCATGGTCCCGTGTACTTTGTGCCACCCTCGCCGCACTCGCCATCAGAACTGACTTCAAAGGTACCCCTCTCGTCGTCCGATTCCGCGTCGACGCTATCATTTACTGTTAAATGTCCGATTTTTAAACCACTATAATCCTTCTTCTCCTCCTCAAACTCTTTCCACTCATCTTCATCCTGAAAATAAGATACATTCATGACATATTTTCACTTCCTAATTTACCTTGAACTATCACTACAGAAATTCACCAAATCTTTCGCAAATCGCTTGATTCTCATGAATATCAAATCCATGACTCGTGATAAAAAATACTTCACGTCTCATAATGTTTCCTCAATTAATGCAATTACAATTTTCAAGAAGATAATTTCGAAGGATTACGAGAGAAAATGTTCACCTAATTGTCACATTGCATACTTAGCTCTTCGCTAAGTATTTACGAAATATCCAACCCATTTTCCCTTTTACAGAAGAAGCGGAGAGGGGAGGGAGGGAGGGGGGCGGGAGGAAGCGCCGAAGAACACGTGCACGTGAAACAGCTGCCGTAAAACGCGCGTGGTCGATCCGGCGTGTCCGACGATTACGTAAGGCGTTCCGAGACGCCCGGGGTGCTTTCGGGGAACGTCGCGCGTCGTCACCATCAGCTTTTTCCACGCGACCGTTCCCCCTTCGTGGGAACAAACATGGCAGCGCCGTGGCGCAGACACGAGGTTCCGGAATCGACGGTGAAAAAAAAAAAACGCGTGGAAGGATCACCGTTCCCGTCGCTGTCCCCGTCACTGTCCCCGTCACCGCCTTACCTCGGTGTGCTGAGAATCCTCGCCTTCAGGATTCGCTGGCTTCTCCTTCGGTTTAGGCTTCTCCAGCCGTTTGCCCGTTTCTTCCAGCTTCTTGGCGACCTCGTCGGTCGTGGCGAATTTCTTACCCTTGGCCTTCTTTCGGTCCTTCTTGGCGAAAAAGTCGTCCAGGTCTGCCATGGCGACGCGACGGAGTCCGGATGGCGCGGCGGGGGACAACCGGTGGGGCAGATGATTCTGCGACGCGTGAGAACGTGCGATTACTGGCACGCCGAGAACACGCTTGATCACGGACTGGTCGTGGCCGTGATATCCGCTGTTCTCGTCCACATGGGCTTGCCTCCGCCGGAAGTCGGCAGCGCCGACGCGCGAGTTATGATGCCTAGTTCACACTAGGCGCGATGAGCGATGCGCGACGAGCGACAACCAATAAGAACTCTGCTTTACATTGTCGTGTGAGCTAAAGCGAAGCTTTTATTGGATATCGCTCGTCGTTCATCGCCCATCGCATCCAGTGTGAACTAGAGTCAAGCGCACGCCTGAACGTTCGAGAACTCGAGAAGGGACAGAATGATTACGCGAGCGAAATTTCTCGCTGACTCGAGAAACAGCGAAGGAAGAAAACTCGTCTCGTGACACCGGCGGATACTTGGCGCGGACCGCGCGACTCGTCTCCACCCCTCGAAACGCAAAATCGCGCGGGTCGCGCAAGGCGCACGCCGTCCGGTCAGCAGAAGATCGGACGCTCTGGCCACGAGTGCTCCTAACCTAAAAACTTCGTGCCTCGACGCGCACACGATGGACGACTCGCCTGCCTCTCGATGCATTCACAAGTCCAGCGTGTGGAACGCGTTCACGCCGATTCGTCGACAACGCGAGTTCTCGAACAGTGGAAAAAAAAAAAGACGTTGAAAAGAAACGTCCTGTGAAAGGCGCGCAAGAACGTAAAGGTTATTTGTTTCCCCGTGTCGTTGCGGGAGACGACAGATGGCGCCGCGCGTCACTTCCGGAATATGAATAACCGAATGATTGAAACAAAGCGCACGTAGGCCGGAATCATTCGTATTCGTATTCGATTAATGGCACTGAATCCCAAAAACTGGGAAATTATACGGCCAGAACGAAAATTTAAACGAGTAGATTCTATGTTCAAACGAGTAATCTTACATGCTCTTAATCAAGCAAACGAAGTCACTCTACCAAGTAATCTCAAGCGGACGAGTATTATTTTACCAAATTGAATTGAAAATATATGGGGAGCAGGCGGATTCGAA